GATTATTAAAATAAAAGTGTAATTATTGATTTGACAAAAATTTAATATACAAATTTATTTTATTTGATCATTAAAAAAAAAAAGTGTAATTATTGATTTGATAAAAATTTAATGCGTAAAATCATTGATTATTCATTTCACACATAGTTTGCTGACAACTTTATTACCTAAATTTCCTTAAAACAAAATGAAATTGATGGGAAAAAAAATAGTGCAATATTTAATTGAGCAAACATACCCTTCACCATAATTGCAAATTATAATATGTCCCTGATTTATACCTCTTCCATTTTTGATCCCACTACAATGAACTGCTGCACATCCAACTGCGCATGTTTCACTCCAAACATACTGCAATCATTTTTTTTTTTTTTAGCAATACTTTTCTATAAAGTAATTATCCAATTGAGAATGATAGCGCTTTTTGTCACACAAAAATAATATTTTAATTGTTGATTTTTTTTTTTAAATAATAAGTATGACAATTGCGCCTTATGATTATATATTTCATAACAATCAAAATTTTACCAAATTTTACTAGAAATATAGAATTGAGTGAATTTATTTCAAATTATTCTAATGAGTTACATTTGTATCTAATTTAATTGAACAAGCGAAAGTTAAAATAAATTAAATTTGGCTGTAAAAATAATTTTAACGTTAGAACAGGTTATTTAGATTAATAAAGCAAATGTTTATTGTTGAATTAAATTTGTCTATTAGACAATAAATCATTCAAAATCATTTGAAAATACTGATAGTTCTACTTTTTTTTCTTCTCTTTCTTTTTTTTTGAAAAGCCTGAAATCTTCAAAGAAAATGTTTGAACATTGGACAAGAATTACAGGTAAATTTTTTTGTGTAAAAAAAAGCAGACAGAGTAATTTTTCTGAAAAAAAAAAAAAGATTTTCTTTTGTATTTTTGAAAGGTCATGGGAGACACCAAAACAAATAGTTCTTTGACCTACGTGATAAAAAGTATATTTAATGAGATTTTTTTTTTCCGTTTTAAATTTAAACATTTAAAAAAAATAAAAGAAACTAAATATGCAGTAATAAATTTGAGATGAGTTGAAAAAGAATATTGAAGCGATTGATGAATGTACTAAAGTATTATTTTAAAATTTATTGAATTTTTAGATATCTATGATTTTTCCAGAAATTGACAAAACTTCAGGTGAAAATGAATAGAAGAGAAAAAATTCATTAAGCCAAATTACCTTGTTCATTCTTTCTCCTTTTAGCAATTAATCATTTTATTACATATTCCAATATTAATTATTTAATTAAAACCTGTGTATAATGTCCACACTGTGCATCTTTCATGCATTTATTTGTACTGTAATCATAATATGGTCTTTCATTGAAGAAATCTAACATTGCTGATTGTAAATTTGATCGTAAATAAGCTTCATTACTCCACCAAATATTTTCACCAATATAGGAATAACCATGACCATGTCGTTCATATGCTAAAATTTAAAGTCATTTTAATGGATTAGTGTAAATTTTCAGCGTTAATTATACGAACATTTAAATGTGTAAAATCATTAAAATGCAATTTATATAAATTCTTTTTTTTTTCTCCCACAATTTGTACATGTAAAACTTTGAATTATTTAAAAAAGACTGACCACTACGATGCCAAGCATCACATTTCTTAGCATGACCGTATGCAAGATCAGCAAGCCGTTGATCCCAAACCAGTTCCTGCATATTTGATGCCGGTTCTCGAGCTCGTAATTCATTATGAATTGTGATTATTTGCCGCCTTTGTTCCTCATTAAAATGATATATTCCATAGATTGTTTGTGCTTAAATTCAATAAATTTTCATTCTAATATTTGTTATTTTTAAAAATTGAAATGAAATAATTAGCTTAAATTATTCATTTTCTAATTAATTAATTTTTTAACTCTTAAATAATATTAAATTAACTTACATGCAGCAATACCAATATAACAAATAATTACAGCAATAAAATAATAGAGCATCGTTTGAGAGATTTGCTTTTGTTACCCTAAATCCGTTAAGAGTAAATGAGTGAGACTTTTTACATCTTACATAATTATCATTTTTTAATTAAAAATTAGCAAGCTTATTTAAAATTGAATTATATTATAAGATATGGGGAATTAATCATACATGGATTAATTTTAATTTAACATAATTTCTTTTTGTTTTGCTTCGATTGTCAAAAAATAAATGAAATTGTATGTAACAAAAAATACAACTGCATAAGTTGAATAAAATAAAATTAAAAAAATTCATTCTAATAATCTGATCTAGCAAGTTACTAAGAAAAAAAAGACATAATGATTGGATCACATAGGTAAATTAACAGAACGGAAGTAAATTGAAAATGAAAAATAGCATACAACGAAATCGAACATTGAATAATAAAGTGAAAGAAATGATAGATAAAAGAAGTTTTGGATGATAAAAAGTGATGAAAAAATTGTAGACATGTAATTGAGATAATGGTGAAGAAAAGTTGAAGAAGATGAAGGATTTTTTAAAATTATTCTCAAATCTTAAAAATTCTTCATTCTCATCAATGTCAAAAAATTTGCATTTCATTAATTACCCATCGTTAAGTATCGTTAAAATAACATAATTTACGCATCAATAGTGACAATTTGTCTTTTATCTTCTCAAAATTTGGAAAATTTGATGATGATAATAATAATAATAAATAATTAGCAAAAATAATTA